GTTATTTTAGTGTGTAGTGTCGTTTGTAGTTTCCTGTTTTCATCTATGTAAATGCGGGTGTCTAAAAATGCTACTGATGTTGTGGATTTTTCATAGTCAAACTTAATTGAGTCGTGCACTGTGTTTAGGGTCATAAGGAATTGGGTAAGTTTGTCATCACTATCCGTGTATACAAAGAATATATCATCGATATATCTTGCATAGAATACGCAGTCGCTAACAATGATTGGATAGATATGGGTCTCCTCAAATTTTCCCATGAATATTGTAGCATATGATGGAGCTGAAATGGTGCCCATATATATATATATATATATGTGTGTGTACTTGTATGTGTATATCCAGCTTACATGTGTTCAAGTACGTCTGGGCAGATATATTGTTGGATATCGGTGCATATAATAACTAACATATTTATAAATCTGTATTTATTTTCGGAAAGCCCAGAAAATATCGATATATTGCAAACGCATATAAGTATATTTACATATATAAATATATTTACGTGTTGCTATAAACGAAAAAATCTAATATATATATATATATGTAAAACTCAATAAATCTATATATGGCTTTATTCGTAATCTGATATCTATATTACTTCAAACGTTATTATATTGGATATTTTGTATTTGAAATAGACGCCATATTGTCTCTTACTTATTGTGCGCGATCAAGAACACTAATTAAAGAAAATGCGTCGCGCGCCAGGGATTGAACCTGCGCCCACTTTTGTCGAGGAAACTCGATTTTGGATCCAACATGCATTAGCGCTCGGCGACAAAGAATATCGCAGTGAACCACGGACCATTTTCTCTTTTTTAAAGAGGCACATGCCTGCTTAGTTTCATATCAGAAACATAAACAAAGCAGTATATATATATATATATATATATATATATATATATATATATATATATATATATATATATATATATATATATATATATATATATATATATATATATATATATATATATATATATATATATATATATATATATATATATATATATATATTTATGTATATATATATATATATATATATATATATATATATGCTTTGTTTAATATATATATATATATATATATATATAAGCAGTGTATATATATATATATATATATATATATATATATATATATATATATATATATATATATTCTTTATTTATGTTTCAGATATGAAACTAACATAAACAAATATATATATATATATATATATATATATATATATGTATATATAACAGTATATATATATATATATATATACATATATATATATATATATATATATATATATATATATATATATACTTTTTGTTTATATTTTGGATATGAAACTAAGCAGTAATATGAAACTAAGCAGACATGTATATAATAGCTAACATATATATATATATATATATATATATATATATATATATATATTGGGACATGTTTCGTTGAATAATTTAGACATGTTCTGTCTATTATTAGCAATTGGATCCTGTCATATTCACGGATATGCATTTGGTGTCGTTATTGAAGGACGAGAGAAAATCACCGTGTTAATACATATTCCTTTTTATTTCCAAGTACTTTCGGCATAGCACGTCATCATCAGTGTATTGTGTATTGTAAGACAAATATTTTAGTGTTCATTATTGTCAAAGACAAAATCGTCGTGTTATCGGAAAGTTAGATTGCTTGCGAGTGGAATAAGGAACACTGTGTAGTGTGTGACCGCTGAAACCGTTTAAGGGGAGGTAACTAAGTATGGTGATTTTTAAGAAATGAATAGTAAAAAGAAAACTATTAGTGCAAACTTCGGCATTTCAAACTATCTATTGTACACATTTTAAAACATTTATTGAGTATTCATAATTATTTTTTTTATGCTTTGGTTTCAATATTTTAATGAAGTTTGCTTCGAAAATTTTTTATTTTATCTTTTCATGAAAAAGTATAGATGTATTTTCAACAAAGCTTTTTCTGAATTGCGAATGTGGACAGGTATGTTGTTGCAAATATTTAGAAATGTTATTCAAATGAAAATATATATATATATAAATGGACATGTTATTCAAATGAAATATATAATATATATATATATATATATATATATATATATATATATATATATATATATATATAACTATTCATCAGACAGGGTTTACGTATCCGTAGTACACTTCTGACGCAGACAACACAGGATTCCGCGATAGGCCAACACCTTTGAGATAATCCAGATTGTGCGTACAAATAAACGAATTTGTGTTTTCCATTTTGTGTAAATAACGGTTGGCAAAAAATCTGATCACTTTAGAGAGAGTATATATTAAATTACACCGATCATCTTTGTAAGGAGAGAAAGAGAAATTTACTCTTTCTTTGCTGAGAAGGGTCTTTGAGTCGATATTTTCTTTTTATATTCACTGGAACTATTTATTCTGTTGTTCTGCTTTTTCATTTTTTCTCCCCTTTTTAATATTAAATTTTATTTTAATCCTTGTTCCTCGTTTCATCCTAGTTTGTCTGTCACTCCGCGATTCTCATTAACATTTTAGTAGTCGCCAACGATTCTTCTGATGAGGTTTTGGCCGAAAAAAAAAAAAGGTTACCTTTTTAAGAGAAAAATATGAGGTTTCTTCTGCTTAAAACTATTTACAAGTTCTGTGGTATTAGACATTTATTTAAATATCAGGGAGAGCCGAGTTCGAAATCCGGTCGAATCCATTACATTCACTTACGTGCTAATACCCTTGGAAAAGGTATGAATCCTCTTCGTCTCACCTATGAGTAAATAGCAGGACAGATTGGGTTCTATAGCCTTGGATGGCAATTGGTCTACCACAGAAAAAAATTGCAACCTAATGCGGGAAAAAATCTGCCTAGTCAGTCATGTATCGAAAGAAACATGATTACCTACGCGTGTATCACGCATGGCACATAACTGACTGACAGTGAGATATATATATATATATATATATATATATATATATATATATATATGAAAACGATAAATAATTTTTATATATCAGAACAATATTTTTCGTGAGATACATTTCGTAAGTCCCAAATGACTACTGAACGAGTCACACAAACATTTTTAACGCTTTGTCATATATATATCGCCTGAAGAAGTACAATTATAGTATTGAAACATGAAAGCTTTTGTGTAGCGATTTCAACATGTTTTTGTTATAATATATATATATATATATATATATGTGTGTGTGTGTGTGTATTATGTCATAATCACAGACAGTACTGTTTCGCAGCTCCTCAGTGCGACTACCGAATGCCTCAAGCCTGGATTGAAACCCAATCGATTTTGTGTCAAACGCCAAGCAATCAAAGTGCTCCATTCATTTTACTGAAGAGCTTACATGGTGGACTCTCTTGCTGCTAACGACAAATGAAAATTCAGTAATATTAACAGGTGCTGAATTCTTATAGTCACTCATGTGTTTCTCGAGGCCGGCATTTAATTTGCAAAATTTTTGACTGATGGAACACGTGGCTGTGTTATTTTCTTCGAGTGGTTGAGGATCAATTGCCACATGTTTCCGCCAATGGACATCAAGACTTGCATTACTGCGTGTGTGTTTACTGAACGACCAGCACCTGCACTTGTTTATAGTGGTCAGTGCTTGTGCAGCACAATGCACACTTTATCCATCAAAACATGATAGCCTATACTGGTGCAATATATATATATATATATATATATATATATATTGTCATCCACAGACAGACTGTTTCGCAGCTCATCAGTGTGGCTAGACGTCAGGTTGCCTCTAGCTAGAATCGAAACCCGACTGAATTGGCATCATTCTGGGATTTTACCACTAAGCCGTTGACGCACGGGAGGGATGAAGGTAAATTTAAGCGTATTTATTTTTTGATAAACACACAGTGACTGAGAGAACTCGATTCGATTTACCGAAGAGTCATGCATTATTAGCCGTTTTTTCTTTAATATATATATATATATATATATATATATTAAAGAAAAAACAAAAGCTGCTGGTGGAACCAACAGACAACTTGCCCAAACCTAAAATTCTTATCGACAATACTGTAAAAAGAAAGAGAAAGAAAAGCCTATAAGCAAGCTTAGCTACTCAGTTAAGTGCCTGAAGCCTACATTGCTTACTCTAGACCGTACAAAAAACGCCGAGCAAAGTTAAATCCTATGAAATGGAAAAAGGGAGCGCGGACTTTTATATAACCCACGAATTTCCTTAAAGCATGACGGTAAAGAATTCACACACACACACACACACACACACACACACACACAAAGCCATATATATATATATATATATATATATATATATATATATATATGAGGGTTGAGTAATAATTCTTCAGCGTACGTTCTTCAGCAGTTATTAGACGATTATTGATTTGAAATTTCAACTCTGTAATGTTCAATGTACGAGATAAATGAAGAAGCATTGACAAGAAGAGAATATTTTAATGTAAACGTTTGTTCTACAAAATAAATGCTACTTTTATTAGTAATCTACGGATCTATTGATGTTTCCACCGATATATGTATGTACATATATATATATAAATATGGTTAAGTTTATATATATATATATATATATATATATGTATCGCTAGCAACATCAATCAGTTCATATTTTGATTTTTTTCTCTTTCCACACTAACATACATATGCATAAACTTTCAGGATTAATATATATACATGAATGTAATAATGTCGACATCAAAGAAAAGTAACAATGTACAAAGTATGATGCAAATTTCAATAAAGATTGAGATATTTTTTATAATATATATATATATATATATATATATATATATATATATATATATATATATATATATATATATATATATATATATATATATATATATATATGGGTTAGACATTTATTTATTTATGCTTGTATTTATATTAATATAATTAATTTAATTAACTATCTATATTTGTTATTTTTTTTGCCGTTTATTTTTTTTCTGTTCGTATTTTGCATCTGATGTCGCTAAGAGTAAAACGAAATATGACAGACTGTCATGAAAAATGAAAGAAAGCTTTTGAGTAGATACCGAGGAAGAGTAGAAAAACTGCTCAGGGTCCAAAAAGAGCTAAGAAGTTTTGTAGATGCACGGTCGTACATATCCTGGTGGAACGGCGGCACATGGAAGAAGAAGAAGAGAATGAAAGAGAGAGAGTGAGAGAGAGAGAAGTAAGAGAGAGAGAACGAGGAAGAGAGAGAACGAGGAAGAGAGAGAGAACAAGGAAGAGAGAGAGAGAATGGGGAAGAGAAAGAATGCGGAAGAGAGAGATAGAGAGAACAAGGAAGAGAGATAGAACGCGGAAGTGAGAGGGAGAACAAGGAAGAGAGAGTGAGAAAGAGAGAGAGAGAGCAAGGAAGTGAGAGGACAAAGAGTGAGAGAACGAGGAAGAGAGAGTGAACAAAAAGAGAGATAGAACGAGGAAGAGAGAGAGAGAGAACAAGGAAAAGACAGAGAGTACGAGGAAGAGAGTGGGAACAAGGAATAGAGAGAGAACGAGGGAGAAAAAGAACGAGGAAGAGAGAGAGAGAGAGAGAGAGAGAGAGGAGAACAAGGAAGAGAGAGAAAGAGAGAGAGAGAGAGAGAGAGAGAGAGAACGAGGAAGTGAGACAAAGAACAAGAAAGAGAAGAACAAGGCAGTTCGTTTCTGCAGCCTTCTTTACCACTCTGCGGATGATTAGATTTTCCACTCACACGTTCGATGGATTTGATGAATTTTCCTCCCTAACTTTAAGGTTAAATATAATTTAAACGAAGCTCAAATATTCTGAATATATTTCACATATTTAGACGAGTTCCTTTCAGTAGAGAAAACATAGAAAATATTGTTTGAAATCATTCATGAATTTTGGAGAGAAAATAAAGTATCCATTTTTTATATACCTGAACAATGCTGGAGTTTCTTTTTTCTACCTTTTTAGATAAGATGTTTAACCATCTTGACACCATTTGTCGTAAGAATCACTGAAAAACCCTTTACATTATTCAGCTAGAAAGAGAACAGGTTAAAATCGTTTTGCGTCAGCGCCACTATGTCTTCCCAAGTGAGCCTCTGTGAGATGAAAAAGATAATTCAGGCCTTCAGTAATGATATGATCCTTCATACTGTGGATTCCATCTTCAAAGTCCATTCAAGAACCATGAAGAAAACGGCGAATAAGTTTAAAAAAGAGGGAACGATAGCAAGGAAAACTGGATGAGGAGGTCACAACAGCAAGAGGGATCATCATTTCATCTTAAAGCTAAATACATTATTATTGTTCAAAGTAGAGTCCAATAGTATTATCCGTCCTGGGTATGACGATAAACTACATCCGTGTCCTAGGTAATACGATAAACTACGTCCAGCAGCAAGGCCTCTGATCAGGAGGTTTTGAGAAGTGTGGAACCACATCTTGATTGTTGGTGTTTCCAGATCCACTCTGACCCGGGGTGGTAGCACCTGTTCGGGTCCCAGCTATGGTCAAATAGTTAACTCCGAAACTAGGGTCAAAACACTCTGAAAGTGTAAAAATAGGTTTTAATACCAGAAATACTAGTAAAAAATTATTACCAGCAATAAAACTATTACCAACAATACGTTTTCAAAAAAAAAAAAATATTACAAGCAATACATTTTTGAGGAAAAAATATTACCAGAAATAGATTTTGACAAAACAATATATTATTAGCAATAAAAATTTTGTCGGCATTAAATAACCCATTGAGGTTGATATGTCGTAAAACAAACCAAATCAATAGGGGTTATAAAAAACTTCTGAGAATTCCAGTAAGATATCTTTCTAAGATACAATGGTTGAAAGCTTAATCTAACAGTTGGAAGTTTTGTTTTTCAAGGTTGGGACAATTTTGCTGTTACAAACGGTATATGCGGTGTGGTGTAATGAATATCAGCATGGAGTGAGAAATCGGAGAGCGGGGTTCGAATTCGCCGGGTTCGTTACATTTACTTGGGAAAGGTATGATCCATCTCTTCTATGCTATTGATTGAATAGATTGGGTCTTATCGCCTTGATTGGCAACCAGCCTACCGCAGAAAGAAACGGCAATGTACCGCGAAAAAAATCTCACGAATCGAAAGAGACATAGATTGATCGCCCAAGCGTTTATAATACATGGCGCTTAAATAAGTGAACTGCATACAGTACAAAACAGAGGAGAAGATGAAAATTTAAATTTGATTAATTTTTGTTTAATATGTATTTCATTTGGTTTCTATTTCTTTGTTTCTATCCCATCCTACCCATCTACAAAACCCACCATTTGTCCATGCATACTGTTGCCGTATTTGATCTGGTGTCTCTGGAGTTCATCTCGAGGTTCTCGACAAAGTCCAAAGACGGATCTGCAATGTGATCGGTCCAGGCTTGGTACCTTGACTCCAGTCACTTTCTTAAAGACGTGATGTGGCTTCCCTTTGTATTTTCTACAAATATTTTCATGGCAACTGCTCTGACGATCTATTTTCCTTGGTGCCCCCACTGTATGAATTTAAGCGTACTAATAGCTTGACATTTAGATCCCTGCCTTGTTACTATTGAAATAATTAAATGTATCCACTTCTACTTCAACAGCTTCTTCCCTCGCACTTCCCGACAGTGGAACAACCTTCCTCTTATTTGCTTCCCCGATAACTACAATCTTAAAAAAATTAAATTTAACGTCAGTTAACATCTTCTGATGCCTTGATTCCCTTTCTTCTTTTTATCCTTTCATCACCCCTCACCCTATACCCAATATTTTCTCATACCTTCACTCTCTGTAAACTGTTGCGCACTAGTGGCACTCCCGCCTTGATTGGGATGAAATACTGAAAAAAATAGTATCCCAGTGATTCTTACAACATTTCAACTTTCTCAGCAGATCGTCCATTATCAAAACGGGGCATAGTTAATAAAAAATCTGCTAAAAACATAGACAAAAAAGAAACTAAATGAAATCGTCCAGACGATATACCCTGACACATATTAGCAAAAAAATTTAAGTTTAACATTTCAGTGTCCCCACTTCGTGCGTATGGGCAGTTCCATTAACGCAAGCATCAGTCTTGTCTGATTAAGTTCTGATGGACGAAAGGCATCAATCGTAAAAAGCTATAAATATATACGCCCACGAAAATACACATTGTTATCTATGTTTTCGTTTGCGATGCGATAAATTCTCGACCACCCAATCCTTTTATTGTAAATATGAGTTTGAGCTTTTCTGCACTACACAATGGCACTACACAACTTCCTTTTTCTGCAATATGCAAGAAATATCATGATTATTCACGATTTGGATTTAAGAGTTATCCTTCTCTTAGAAGGGCTGACAACCTACTATTTAAACCCTGTGAAGAAGAGGAGAAATTATGGCTTTCGCAAGGGCATTATTAGTACGAATGTTTTGTGACGTACGGTGGCCGTTAATAATTAAGTATAACTCAAGACTTCAATGTTAAGATAAAACAGTATTTAATTACAACCACAAATAAATTCTTAACAAAAACAAAGAAATAAAAGTCAACCAAAGATAATTAACCATTTCAATGAATAACTTGTTAGTAGCGCGGATCGGCTTAACATCCGGTAAATCTTAAATCAAACTCAAGTCATCGACACACAATAATTCACACTAATTCGACTGGATAGTTCCACTCAATAATCACTCAATAATCACTCCAGTCAGTAGCCTGACACCGCTATTTATACACCTAGCGGAAAACATCTTCACAAGTCTAGAGTGTCACGCTCGAATCTCGGTGTCGGTAGTTACTCATTTTCTTCCTATATGACTGAATGTGAACAAAGCAAATTTAGATAGTAGTTCTAAAAATGTAGTCTGTTTAATTCACGCTGCACTAATGCATTTGGAAAAGGTATGAATCCATTTTCTTCTGACTGTGGTTTTAATAGCAGTGCAAACAGGGCTCTCTATGTAAGAGTCAAAGCCAGTGAAAGAAAAGACAGCATTGAATTTTTTGAATTCAATACAAACTTGAAAAGAGGTTGGTCCCGTTTTGTTATCTTGCTTTAGACCAGTCATCGGCAAACTACGACCTCCGAGCCACATGCGGCCCATTTGGCTATTCTGAATTGCACGTTTAATTTTATAAGCTAAATAACGTTTCTGAAAATTTTATTTCCTTTTGTTCTCATTTGTCCACTCACAAACTCTATCGCAGACAACCACATACATAAACAATGATTAAGTACAATGTTTCTTGAATTTTGTAAAGTTTTGGTGAAAATAACTTTCTCATCATTTTAGACCATTGGCGATTTTCACTATGGAAGATCAGACGTGTAAACATATTTTGCTTTTGAAACCGGAAACATTTTAAGAATTTTTTTCTCTTTAGAAGAAATACACATTTTTTATTTTCATTGAATAAATTAAAAATAAATCACACGCGGCAATATGTGTTAATTACACTGTCATCAGTGATAATATTATACCAAAATTTCAATTTTTTAATATAGAAAATCATTTCTCCATAGGAAAAAAAAAAAGAATCTCCCTTTTCTTACGCATATGGTCTTCTGTAGAGAAAATAACTGAGGCACCAATTACTTGGTATCTTTTTAGTAGTGTGGCCTGCCTTGTAATAAGCCATAGATCATGCGACCCATTGTTCGTAAAAGATTACCCATGTCTGCCCTAGATACACTCCTAAAGCCGTCTGCAGTATATGTGGTATTCCTTCAATTATAATGTGTTAGGGGACTTAGAATCGTTGTATTGATTTGGTGGTGTGTAAGAGAAAGCATCGTTTTAACTCTAAGTAACGTTTATATTTCTCTGCTGTATTGGTTTGTATTTATGAGTTCTTAGAGGCTTCAAAGACGTCCTTCAAATTCTAATTCTCCAAGTAGTTTCGATCAACACCGCAAAGAGCAAGAAAACCAAAAGCTAAATCTCGTTATGATCTTTGAGAATCTCATCAGATCGAGACTTTCATCTAGATGCCATGAATGGCAACAAACCCATTCAGAAATGCCTAAACTGACAGTTGTGTACAACCGCTTACCCAGAATTAAACCTGTAGATAATAGCGCAGATCACTCTTCATCGAACCGCGTTGACTGGCACTACAGAATCCCAAGTAAAGCAAATGTAACTTGAAGATAAATGAAGGATATAATCAAAATACTGATGTTACACACTGCTTCAGACAAAAGGTTTGGAAGGAAACCTCCATCAATATTTGAAAGAGCGATAAAAGTTACGGGACTGAGAAGAGAAAATAATGACATAATCAAAATGTTGACATTCCACACTACTTCAAACAAAAGGTTTGGAAGGAAACGACCATCAATATTGGAAAGACCGTTAACTCGACTTAAGAAAGTTATTTTCTTGAAGAATTGTTTTAATCGAAACATTTTATGACTGCTCAGTCAATGAATGCCGAAATTTTCTCATAAGAAAACGGCTAATATTACCATTACAGCTAATATTACCATTACCATTACAGCTATTATTACCATTATCATTAACGCTAATATTACCGTTACAACTAATATTGCCATTACTATTACAGCTAATATTACCATTACCGCTTACATTACCATTACCATTACAGCTATTATTACCATTACCATTACAGCTAATATTACGATGACAACTAATATTACCATTACAACTAATATTACCATTGTCATTACAGCTAATTTTACCATTACTGCCAATATTACCATTAAGTCCAATATTATCATTACCATTACAACTAATATTACCATTAGAGCAAATATTACCATTAACATTACTAATATGTCTATAGGCTTTAAATTAACTTAGGAATAGTAGCAATTAGTTTGATACAGAGTTGTGAG